TTATAATGATCAAATATTATGTGACTCATTAGACATTGGTTTTCCCATTGGGTATACAGCAGGTGATATTGTAGATATAAAAAAACCAGTAATCATAGTGGAGCTACAGATTTTCCAGATTTTATTATGAAGTATTTGAAAAAGAAGTTGGAATATAAAGCTGTTATTGGTCCATTAAAAGTGAACCTTTATATATTCTTCATTTGTTTTATCTCCATTGAATTCAGTTCCAACGAGTACACCAGGTGAAAGAAGAGTGATACTTTATTTAAGTTTTCCTTCTGAAAATTGAATTAATGCAGAAATTGATAAAGATATTTATTTGGGTGAGTCAGTTAATTTGACTTATCCATCTGTAGATGATTTTATAAAGCTTATTAAGCTAAAAGGTAAAAATTGTGGTATTTTTAAAAGGGATTTGAAGCGGACACATCGTCAAATTCCTATTGATCCTGGAGATATTAATTTTGTTGGATTTCATTGGAAAAATCACTTTTTGTAGATAACAGTTTTAAGTATGGGGCTTAGATCATCAGCAAATATTTGCCAAAGAGTGACTCCTTCTGTAGTTTATATGATGAAATAGTTTGGATATTTGTTATTAAATTATTTAGATGATTCTGCTGGAGCAGAAAAATTTTGTGTTTGATTTATTAGGTATACTGGTTGATAGTTGTGGTCTTGAAGAATCGGTGGAGAAAGGTAGCTCTCCTAGTACTGTTATGACATTTTAGGAGTGGAATTTAACACACCGGTACTTACAATATCAGTTACGGCTGAAAGAGTGGAGGAGATTTTATTGTTAGTGAAGTCTTAGTTAAATAAACAGGTTGCTACAGTTAAACATTTACAGTCATTGTTAGGTAAATTACATTTTGCATCTAACTGTGTTAGGCCAGGAAGGCTTTTTGTTTCTAGGGTGCTTACTTGACTTCGTAGTTTACCAGATGACAAAGGTGAGCATAATATTCCTTTGCATATAAGGAAAGATTTATTATGGTGGTATCACTTTTTGCAGTTTTACAATGGGGTCTCTATGATGGCTTTAGAGGATTGGTCTCAGCCAGATGAAATATTAGAGAGTGATGCTACTCTTAGTGGGTGTGGAGGTTGGTTTCTTGAAAAAAGGGAGTTTTTTCATGTTCAATTTCATTCCTTTTTGATGGATTTGAATCTACATATAAATCAATTTGAATTGATTGCATTGATTATTCGTGTTAAAGTATAGAGTGTACATTTTGTAAATAGAAAAATATTACTTAAATGTAATAATCAGTCTACTGTGATGGTTTTGAATTCTTGTTGTACTAGAGATGCCTATATGCAATGTTGTTTAAGAGCAATTTTATATTATGCTGTGAAGTATAATTTTGAAATTAAGGCTGTTCATTTTCCTGGAGTTGAAAACAGAACAGTAGATATTTTGTCAAGATGGCATTTTGATCCCAGATTTGATTTATTTCATGATTTGCCTGTTATAAGAATGGGTAAATGTTTTGAGAAATTTCTCTATTCTGGTCTTTTTCAGTTTACTCTTGATTGGTGACCTATTGTAGATATACAGCTGAATTTGTTGAAAGTGGATGAACAGACATCATGCAAGTCAGTCTTTGCTCGAGGCACTTTTGAAAACATTAAAGTTCAGTGGAGGACTTTTTTAACATATTGTATTTACTTCGGTTTTAAATTTTTACCTGCTTCTTTGAATACTGTGTGTTTGTATGCTCAATTTCTGAGCAGATCTTTTAGATCAGTGCATTCTATTAAAAATTACATAAATGGAGTAAGACTATTATATTTTTACAATGATTTGGAGTTTCCATATCTACAGAGTCTTTCATTAAAACTTACTTTGAAAGGATTAGCGAGATTAAATCCTTATTTGCCAAGGAAAGCTCTTCCCATAACACCTTTTATTTTAAAACAGATTTATGAGTTTATGGATTTAGATGACACTCTAGATAAACCTTTCTGGAGTTTATTTTTGTTAGCCTTTTTTATGATGAGTAGAAAATCGAATCTTGTTCCAAATTCTGAAAAAGAATTTGTTGAGAATAAACAATAATGTAGAGGTGACATTTTTCTTGAAAATTATATTTTAATTATTATCTTGAAATGGTCTAAGACTTTTCAATTTGGGCAAAGAAAATTGAGAATTCCTATTTCTAGTATTCAGGGGAGAATTTTATGTTTAGTTACTGCCTATAAGAATATGATAGAATCCAGCACACAAAAAGGAACCTACGTTTTGTAAAGTTAAAAAGGGACGCATTTACCCATTACTTATAAAGATTATCAAAATAAGCTTAGATATTTGATACAAAAACAGGTCAAAAATCTTTAGCTTACTCTACCCATAGTTTTAGGAGAGGGGGGGCTTCATTGACCTTTGATGCAGAGTTAATTAAACTGCATGGAGATTAGCATAGTGATGCGTATAAGAAGTATTTAGAATTCACATTAAAACAGAAACTGCAAGTTTCTCAGATGATGTCTCAAAGTATTTCCTTGTTAGGTTATTAATTTAATTGTTTCGTTGAAGAGCCAAGAACATTTCTAATAGTGTCAGATTCTATTGCTAAGTATGTGTCACTTGGAAATGCTGATGTATTTGCTTTCTGGGGGCTCCTATAGGAGATATAACTTATCAACTCAACAAGTGCAAGGGGAGTATTTATCAAGGTTACAATATTTACTAATTCATGTTGGTACTAATGATATTCATTTGTTATCTATTGATCAATTTAAGTCTGCCTACTGTAATTTGATTTCTACTGCTAAATCGTTATTTCCTTCTATGGTTATTGAATTTTCTGGTATTCTTTCTCGTCCTATAGATTTTGAGGAAACTGGTCAGAAAATTAAGGAAGTTAATATGGCCTTGTTTAATTTATGGTTGCTATATAAAGAAGAACTCATTCATTCATATAGATATTTCTTGAAATGTGGACGGCAAATGTTGAATTATTTGCATATAACGATGGTTGGTGGTTTACATCTTAATTATGAAGGTACAAGGCAGTTGGGTTTATATTTTAAAAGAAGGGTTGCTGATCTAATTTAGTTTGTAAAAACTTGTCATTGGAGATAACTTTCTCAGGTGAAGCGAAGGATTAGAAATGGTCGAATTTCATGTTTCTACCATTCTTCCTTTAATATTTTAGTCTATGGTGGATATTATTTCTTCCATACTAAAATAGGTATTGCCTGCATTTTCTATTTGTTCATAATGTCCTTAATATGTAGTTGTATTTATTATCATTTATATTATTTTCTGATAGTTTATTTATATTCTGTACTAATGATTTTTATTTTATTTTGCAGGTAAGGGACTCTTTTTTGTGATTTTTGTTCACACTGTGGGGTTTAATATTTTTATCTATTTAGTTAAAAGCCATTGTTCACCACAGTTGTTTGGGGTTTTTTTTTGGCGGCCGTTGGCTTGGCGGCTAGCTCTAATGTGTATTTGGTCTGTTTGACTTAAATATATTTATTTATTTCTAATGGCTTGTCGCTTATAATTATTTACTTCTAACAATTTTGGTGTGATAGCCAGTTAAATTTTTTATCCTGTTTTGTGAAATTTATTTGTTTGTATGTCTTGTTATTATATATTGTGCCTAATAAAATTGAGTAACTTTGATTTCGTTTGTGAGAAGCCTGGTAATTATGCTTAGAGCTATCTGGAACACTCCGGAAATTGGTTACATTAGATAATTCCCAATTTTTTATCAATATACAGACAAGATTAGAATTTTTAAATTTCAGTTTAACAAGCTTCTAATGCAATGGTCTCGATAAATAATTATAGGTTTCATTACAAATGAGAACTGGATATCGCTTGATATCAACTCGAGTTATTTAATTTCAATATGTTAATAAATAAGCCTTCGTCGAGTTTTTTATTACTATTAATATTAAATAACGAGAGTTAATATCAAGCAATATCCAATTCTCACGAGTTGTTGAACGTATTTTTCTTATGATCAACACTCTAATTGTGTTAAAATAAGAATTTTTCGAATTGTTGATCTAGTCTTTTTCACATACCAGTATGATGTCATATGTCGTGTTTGTCTGTTTGTCTTTTTCTTTTTCAGTCATGGCGTTGTCAGTTTATTTTCGACTTATGGGTTGGAATGTCCCTTTGGTATCCTTTGCCTCTCTTTTTCTGGCGTCAAACTTTAACAATTGACATTTTAAATCTTTTATTACGCTTCACAATTGAATAAAAGTTGACAAAAAGAAGATTTGCAGGTGAAAAGTGTGAGTATTTTGTATATTATTGGAGAAGTCACATTGCCATGGACGAAATGTACATTGTCTTAACATTTAAAAGTCATCAATGAACTAAGGAATAGCCAATTGATATGCCAAACTATCGTCTCATGATGCTGGAAAAGCCAATCAAGTTAACGCAGTTTTCGTATCACTTTTTCGTATCGCGCTCCGTGCAGTGTGATACGAGAAATATATATTCATGCAAGAAATAGATAACAGGCCACAAACATAAGAGAACATTGAACATCGATTATTTGCATATATATTTCGTATAACACAGTTTAAACAATTTTTTTTTTAAATGTACGAATGTTGTTTAGAAATAACTTTGTTTTACTACTGATTTTCTCGATTTTGTCATGATAAGAGGGAATTTCCTATTTTCTCGAGTCACCGGTATGCCACTGGTTGAGGTAGATGCATTTCATATAAATGATAAAAATGATAAAAAAAAAAACCTGAACCCCATCAAAAACCGGGGGTGAAATTTTAAATATTCATCAAGTGGTGTTTCGATTAAAAGTTGTATAGATATACTGTCAATTTTATATGTTGTCACATGCAAATACTAAGTTGGTCTTTTTAAGTCATGTTTAGCTTCTGTAAATTCAGAGCAATTTCACCACAATTTCAATCGTAGTATACATTAAGCTTAAAAATGTAGAAACACGTTTTCATTTAACGCTGATGTATAATCATTGTCGGAAACAGTCTAACATCATTACAATAAATAATATCTAAACACTTAATTTTAATTTGAACAATTTATGTAATACCATCAGTGACGATCCATAATTGCTTGTAATAATATACAGTTCTGTCTAAAAGGTATTGTACTACTGTTTTGTAAATAATGATAATCAATTATTTGACTTGTGGATGGAATCGTCCAATAAACAAAATAAGACCCGATTTAATATCTCTTACATAAAATAAAAATGGTTTATTTGCACTGAACCATATTGGCATCAATCTAAAAGAAAATCCAATGGCTGTAGCAGCAGATCCCTCTATACCTGCTTCGTTCACATTGAAGACGGCTTTATGAACAGCAACATCGACGCATACACCTTCTCTCTTCTCAACAATAAGATTTGAAAAATTAGCTTTTGATTCGTCAAAAATATCTTTTACTCCAAGTTTAGGTAATTCATTTGTTAAATCAAATTCTGACTGTAACTTAAATTTTGGAATAGAAACAGATGTATACGTCCTTATAAATCCAGCAGAAATATCCGAAAGAAACATTGGTGTTATCTTCGCTTCTATATTTGGAAGCCCGTGTTTTTCATTTGGTAAAATGAAGACCATATCAAAATTTCCTCCTTTGAAAGGTAATGCTACTGCAGAGAAGTCCACACCTCGAAAATATGGAATGAATAGTTTGTTGCTCATCATTTCAACTTCGATCGTTTTGTTATTAGGAAGGTAAAAGTTGGCTTTGTGTGTCTTTTTTGGAGAAAATTGTTTCTCCCATGTGGCTTTAAAGTATATAGCATTTATTATGAACATTACAGTGTTTTGGTCTAACCATTTCTCCTTGATCAAATCTTTTATTTTACCGTCAGTCTGTTCTGACACCCATCTATTCATCTCGTACGCAGATTCTTTAGATTCTATAAAGTTCTTTAAACTGACATCGGCTCCAAAATATCGTTTTGCATTTTCTTGGACATTTTGCATCACTGTGAGTTGGTCGCTTACAAAGAGCCTATTTGCACTAGCAAAACTAACATTGACGCCAGCTTTTTGAGTTAGTTGACTATCAAGTGACTTGTAAAACTTCAACTTTTGCTCTTCTGAATATAAGCTATTTTGAAAAAGAGCAGATGAAATTTGTTGCTTTGATCGTCCACTTGCTCCAATCATCAATAATAGCAATGCCGCTGTGATGCTATACGGTGACAAGCAAACACTGTCTAACTTGTTCAATCCGTGATACAAAGATGTCGAGAATTCAATCAAACTTTGTTCAAAGTCAACAGGAATATCTGCCAACATAGCCATCACTACAGTAAAAGATTTTATACTGAGATGAAACTTACTAGCGACAACATTCTTTATATATGTACAGAAATGCAAATAATGTGTTAACATGAGAAAGCTTCGATCGCGATACTGCAAAGTTTGTGCTCGAATGGGTAGTTGCAATTAACATACTTCCTTTACAAATTGTGTTTGAAAATATGTTGTACATTTGATGCAACGTAGAAAATATCTTTTTGTAGTCAGTCGACAGTATGTGGAAATGTTTTTTATACTCAAATACACACTATTATGATATTTGAGTATTCAATTGGAAAACAATACTAACTAATTTACTGATCGCTTGTTTAAACTTCACCTTATAATACATTGTAGTTCTGCACCTGATTTTGTTATCGCTTTTACTGAAGTGGAATGTTGAATAGGAGACATCCATAACCAAATGATAAGGTATGATAAGTCATTATTTTTGCACCTGAAATTGCAGATATACATATAGAAAATTATTCAAGCATTAAAACATTATGTAACTTTTATTGAAATATGAATCTCTTAATATAATCTAGACAATATGGTTCAAAAAAGGTAACTTCTGATGTCACTATAACGTCAAAAAGTGTCAAACTGACATATTTAATTTTTATTTGCAATTTTGAGTATTGTTTTTGGACATAAAAGATAATGAAACAACCCATACCAAAAATTTCGCACCCTGTCTCATTCCTTTTGAAGTTCATTCGAATCCCTTAGTTTTTATGTTTGTTACCTTGGTTTGTCTCTGTTAACTCGATTTACGAGATTTGAACATCTTTAAACTGCTGTCATTTTAATTTTCGTACTTTAACAACTGTGTAAAAATACATTTTGTTGCAAATTGTCTTTTTGGGTAAGGCCTTGGCTCATATATATGTATTAAAAACAAGATATAAAAATGATGCTATTTTATCAGTTTTGAACTAAATATGCTTAATGCAAGATGTTTGACGCCCTGGTGTCAATATGTAGGACATAATTAAAAAATATAAATTATGATACCGGACAAACGAATGTATTATGAACATCTGATGGATGTTATTTGGTACCTAAATAAAATACATTTTTATTTTCTAATTAAGGTGGCCAAAAAGAGGCCTTATCTTTTATCTTACCTCCTATACATTTCTAGGAATATGATTGGTTAAAAGCGTCCTCGTGGATACCGTGTATATTTCATATTAGGTTAGTAGGGAGGCGGGGCTTATTTCAATACACGGTTAGTAGTGGAGTTACGTCCCTTTATATAGTAAACATGGCGTCGACGAGAGGTTCGAAACGATTTGCAAGCACAACAAATCAAGAAATTGATGCCAAAAGATTAAATGTGAATGCCGATAATACCCTGAAAGCAAATAGAAAGTGTGCAAATATACTCCGGGAATATCTGCAGGAGAAAGAACAAGATTTTGACTTTGAAAAATTTGATTGTGTGCGGCTGAATGAGACTTTGGGTCATTTTTATGTCGATCTACGTAAAGCGGATGGTGAGCGATACAAAGCATCGTAACTGGAGTCCATCAGGCATGGCATTAACAGATACCTTAAGGCTCCTCCGCACAGTAAATCGTTCGATATTGTGAAGGATTCTACATTTAATGACAGTAACGCAAACTTTAAAGCCGTATTGGCAGAATTGAAACGTTTTGGACTAGGTGACATTGAACATTTTCCCGTTATTAATGAAGTGGATCGTCAAACACTGTATACATCCATGTATCTTTCACCTACAACACCAACTGGCCTGGCAAATAAAGTTCAATTTGATGTCAGACTTTATTTTTGCAGAAGAGGTATAGAAAATATGCCAAAATCTACGTTCACAATTAAAAGTGACAATAAGACAGGACTTAAATATGTAACTAAGGCAAGAGATGAGCTTACAAAGAACCATAGAGAATCAGATAAGGAGCTTGTCTCTGGAGTAATGCCAGAATCACCAGGTGAGTGTATAATAATAAAAAAAGGGGGGTATCATTAGACAATCAAAAGGACGAAAAAGATAATAGAACGTTACACCGTACTAATTGTGTATTAAAAAAACAGGACGCTTACTAACTTCATATCAAATATACAACATCGCCACACGGACATTAATAATTATTAAGCAATGATATTCCTGAAAATATAAAACTAAAAACAACAAGTAGTAACCAATAGTTATCAAAGGTACCAATATGATTATCTAATTACAGAGTGAGTCAGGAGCCTGTTATTCATTGTTTGTCGTTTATTGCTGTATATTATACATGTATTTCTCATTTGAATAAATTTATATGTGTCATTTTGGGACCTTTTATAGGTATGATATATATCAATGTAAATACAAGAAATACATAGTATCTACGTCTTCGTTCTTGATGTAAAACCTTAATATACTTAAATGATTTCTCTATATTTCAGGATCTGTGCATTGTCCTGTTGCCTCATACGAGAACTATATTCGTAGATTACATCCATCAAATGATCGTTTATGGCAGAAGCCATTGGATAGTTTTTCTACAGAAGCTGATGTTTGGTATTGTAATATGCCACTGGGAGAAAAAACTAAGTACATTCATGTCAGAACTCAGTAAAAATGTAAGTTGTCTGTTGTTAATACCAATCACTCAATACGAGCAACTGGACCTACAGTTTTATCACAAAACATGTATGGATCTGTGCAAATAATGGCAGTCACTGGACATAAGTCCGTACTGTCACTCACTCCTTACCAGCGTGTTGATACTGACGAGAAAATAAAAATGGGTAAAACTATATCTGACAATCTTGTGCAGTGAGCAGTTATTGCTTCCAACCATACATGCCATAGTTCCAATAGTGAGTCATTTACGGAACAAATACAGGATATTGACATTGGGGATATTTTAGGAGACTTTGATGACAACGGGCCGAAACCCATCCAATACAGGCAAACAACCACATGTATGCAGTCGACAATACCTCAGAGTCAAATCTTCTATGGCAATGTAACTGTTATACATAACCTGACCATCAACAAGTAGTTGTGATGAAAATATGACATTTGTGATGTTGACATTATCATTTATTTTTCAACTTTGTACACAAAAAATGTGTTGGATGTTGACTTTGGCACTATTTGTCCTATAAATGTATTGAACATTTTGTTTAAATTAATATTGTTATATCAAGGTTATTGATATTAAATTGTTATTGTTGACATTAAATTTTTTGTTAAGACCAATGAAAGTAGATTCTTAAAATTGTAGACTTGAACACTTTAATATAAAAATAAGAAGATGTGATATGATTGCAAATGAGACAACTCTAGTCTAAATTCAACAAATAAAGATAGTCGGTAAGATAAATTCGTTACATAGTGTGCTAGTGACCTAATACGATATATACGGGGTAAGTAAATTCCATATGGAGTTCGAGCTTCGCTCTCACCTAATATGGAATTTACTGCCCCCGTATATATCGTATTAGGTCAATAACACACTACGTAACTAATAATATTCTCCTTTGTTTTACTATAAGGTCAGACGAAGCGACATAACTCCGACTTAATTGGTATGGTTAACTATGATTTTTGTACTCTCTTTTATTGCATTGTTAGCAAGAAAATCAAAATGACACATAAATGAATAAGTGGATGCTTGTTCGATATTGCAAATCCGTAAAAGAAGATAATAATACGGGTTCAATAGTAAATTGATTTTTTTCATGACGACGGGTGCCACATGTTGAGCAGGATCTGCTTACCCTTCCGGAGCACCTGAGATCACCCCAGTTTTTGACGGGGTTCGTGTTGCTTTGTCTTTAGTTTTCCATGCTGTGTTTTGTGTATTCTAGTTTGTGCGTCTTCTTCCTTTTTAGCCATGGATTTGTCAGTTCATTTTCGACTTATGAGTTTGAATGTCCCTATGGTATCTTTCGCCTCTCTTTTTCAAAACATGTAACGTTATCCAGATTGTTTCAAGAAACATGATTTTTAAAAGCCGATCTATGGATAAGATTTTAAAGAAATGATGATTTTCTTTAAATATGCATTCTATCACCCCTAGTTTTTTGTGGGATCCGTGTTGTTTTTGTACCCCTATTTGTGACATTTTGTTCACGCATCATTGTCATTATAATGGAAACTGATGCGACTGTCGTACAAGTGAGAGGTTTAGCGCTATAAAACTAGGTTCAATCCACCATTTTCTACATAAGAAAATGCCTGTACCAAGTCAGGAATATGACAGTTGTTGTCCATTCGTTTGTTGTGTTCGTGCTTTTGATTTTGCCATTTCATTAGGAACTTTCCGTTTTGGATTTTCCTCGGAGTTCAGTATTTTTGTGATTTAACTTTTTTCTATACAAACTAGTGTATATTTCAACGATTTCTATAAAAGTATATTGTTTAAAATATAAAAGTGTAATTAATTGTGTAAAATGAGCACCTATTGCAGTGAACTTGTGTAAATGCGTAGTTTGTTTGGGGGGGGGGGGGTCTGGGGGAGGGGGATATGGTGAAAAGTCACTGAATGTATGTTTAGAATGTCTTATTTGTATGGAGATTTAATTGTTGAAAAATCTGTGACATCAACAATGTACTGTACCTTTCCATTTCATAAATTAAATTTGTCAAATGCATTTTTTGAAATATGAAGAACAGCCTGTGATGTAAGAAAGCATGTAACCCTTCAAAATAATGAACATGACGTATTTGCCTTGCGTTTCATCTCCTATAATTGTGTGATCTCAAATGTTTCCTCTTCAGTGCATACTTAACTTTAAATAGCAATAGTTCCGTTTCAAAATACACTAAGGGGACTATTCTAAAAAAAACAGATCAGGAATTTCCATACACCACACCAACCACCGACTTCCGACCCCTCCACTAAAATAACCATACAAACGAAGACTAACAACAACGGACAAACCATGGTTCATATAGAAATATCTAATAAGTCAAGCCATGAATAAAATAAAGCCTAAATTTAAAATAGAAATGCTATAAAAAAATCTACGTTATCTTTTCAATAATGACAATGTAGAAAATCCATAT